TCTTGCTCTGTTGGCCCTGAATTGAAGAAATTTCATTTACTTGTTTGGTTTTTGCTTATTTTCCTTTAGTTTTCTGGACATTATTCATAACCTTGATAATGGTAAATGTGGGTTGAAGTAGATGTGGCCGGAGCTCGTTAAAACTGCTAAAGAAGGAGGGGCTGATGCAATAGAGACTTATGTGTTCTGGAATGGACATGAGCTTTCCCCTGGCAATGTGAGTTAATCAGAGGATGTTTTATTGGATGCAACTAACTTTGGAATCAGCTCTGGTTCTCTGTTGTTTTGTTGTGTTTTGCTCAAGAGGAACTTAGATTTCTTTACTCTCAACCTTGTAGTATTATTTTAATAAGCGCTACAATCTGGTCAAGTTAGTGAAGATTGTTCTGCGAGCTGGGATGTATTTGATATTGATGATTGGACCATTTGTTGCAGCAGAGTGGAACTTTGGGTATGCCAGCGGCTGTTTTAGAATTTAGAATTTACTCTACTTTCCGGCGAATGCAAAGGGTGTCTAAGGGCGGGGAGAAAGCAGAAGAAACCCCTTATCTGAGACCAAAACAATTATTGAACAACCACCGATGGCCGCCCGATAGAGAAATGGTGAAGAAGAAGAGAGAGGGACGAAGGGTAAAATTGGGTCAAGCAAAGCTTTGAAAAATTGGAAAGCAGGGGTTTTTCATCAATTAGATTTTATTTTGAAAATTTGATAAATAATGAAGGATAAATTTGACATTTTATTTTCTTAAGAGTACCCTTTGGTTTCCATTTTTCACATGTACCAAAGAAAGTGCACACATTTCTCTTTTAATTTGTCCTGTCCAATCAAATTTATCTTGCTGCTGATCCTCACTCACCACTCAAACAAAGATGAGGCATGCTCATGAGGGCCTTCGATTAAGTGAGTAGGCATAGAAGCTACACCCTGGCTCAATATTATACCCTATAGATTTGAGGAAACTTTTTGATGGGAGCTTACTGTTCAATAGAAGAAAAAGAAAACACCCTCAGTTTTGGGGGCCATTAAATCTTCCAGACCATAGATAGATATCTACTTTAAATCATTTCCCCTACCAATCGTCATTCTGCACTTCAACTTATAGGCTGATTTCAACGAAAATTTTCCATCTAGGTTTATATCCTCTATTGGACTAGAAGGAATAAAAGTCGGTTTGATCTTGCTCCAAATTTCTATTGGAACCAGATTCCTCACTTTGTCTTCCAATCAAACCTTTCTCTCTTTCCTTAGAGGAGAAGGGGCAACATTAGCTATCAAAACTCATCCATCGGTCACTCCAAAATTTAGCATTCTTACCGTCACCAATTTCTCATCTAATACTATTATTAATGATATCTCAAGCTTCAAGAATTCCTTTCTAGGCCCAAAAAATAGCTCTTATGTAGCTGTTCTATCCGGTGGTTAACACGGTTAGCATTAACAAATTCAACTAAGTCTGAGCTGTCTATATAAACCAAAAGATGGAGAGATCGCCATTTGGAATCCGGTTAGAAGGGCTCGTATGAATTGTTCATTGGCTTGTTGGAGGATGATCCCATGTCTTACGTGACCTGTAACTGGATCAAAGAAACCATCAGTATACAAAATGGGCAGATTAGTACGAACCATCAGACGGCTTGTACTCCAAAGTCCAAACTGAAGGAACTCACTGCCTTTACCACCTGAACCGGATCCTGCCGATCATTCTAAAATATTCTTTTGTCTCTGGCTTCTCATAGGCAATAAATAATTAATGCAAACTTGCTGTGACTCATTAAAGCTTGTTGCTTTCCTAGGTTATGAGCCAGATAGTTATACCAATCTTGAACAATGATGTGGATGGGTGACTGCGAAATTGTAGAGGGGCATTATATTAGTGATTGAATTTAACAATGTAAGCTTTCTTGCGAGGGAGAGAGTATTTCTCTTCTTATTAATTTTTCCCCTTGGGAAAGTGTTCTTTGTTACCCTAGCATTGATTAGAGGCAGACCTAGCAATTGGGTTGGGTGGGTCTGGTTTGGGTTGGATCAAGACACTTCGGGTTGATTTTGGGTTGAATTATCAAATGCTAAACCTTAACCCTAAATATTCGGGTTAGGGTTGACTCATGGGCCATGGGTCAATTTGGGTCATCCCAAAAATACTGAAATTTAAAGAAAAACTACATGAAAAATGCTAAAATTAAAGGAATTAACATTTAAACTTACAAATATAAAATAAAAAAATTTAAACATTTAACAATTTAAAGAGTAAACAATAAAGAATACATACTAAATAAAAAAATTAAGAGTGGAAACTTCTAACAGTGCATAAATAGTCCCAATTAGACTTGACAATTGAGTCAGCGGGTTGACCCATGACCCAACCCAACCCAACCCAACCCAGTTTTTTTCAGGTTAGGTCGGGTCAAGTTATTCTCACATTTAGGTAGCTAAATATAAGACCCTAACCCTGTTTTTTCGGGTTTGATTGGATCAACTTTTTGCCAAATCTAATTAGAGGGGCCCCTACATAAGAATTGGAGTTTGTTTGGATTGAAATTTTCAGAATTTTTTTCTAAAACTTTTTGAAATCTATTAGGGGTGTTTTTTTTTTGAAAATTGAATGATTGACTTTTTGAAATGAGGACTTTTTCTCGAGGCCTTTTCCAATTCTGAGAGAATCTCTTTGAAATTATGACTCCTTTACTTTTATGTTAGTTATATTAATATTTTCATTTCTTTCCCTATAATTTAGTTCAATCCCCAATTTGGTGATTTCTCTATCAATAAATGCACCTATTTCACCGATTGTCTTATTACAGCATCGGTTTATGCCCCCAAAGTCAATTAGAAAGGAAAGGATATCGACTCAAGCAGAAGATTCTGTTGATGACGAGAAAGTCGATAGGAAACAACATATACAGGTTTGGAAGCATATCCATTTTCGCCAAGAAGGATAATGGTTTCTAAGATGCACATCCCGGTAATGGAAGTGACGACCTATTTAACATGTTTAGTGTCAGTCCCATCAATACCCTTTTACATTCGTAATTGCCTCCTTCAAGGTGTTATTGTATTAACTATTAAGTCTGTAGGTTTGTCAATGATATCCAAAAGTTTATAATCAGATTCAACATTCAATCCAATAATCTGGATTTGGATGATGTGTTCATATAATTAAATCAGCTTCAGATTTTACAATCTGCACCCAATTAATAATCGAATGGATTCACATTTGACTCCAACCAATCTGATTAAAATCCAAATTCAATTATATTATAATATTTATTGATTTTAATATATAAATTATATAATTATATTTAAAATTATAAAAAATATTTTTATATATTATATCATATATGAATTTATATATATAATAAATTCAATATGTTCATTTACATTAATTTATTATACATAAAAGTTGAAATGTAATTAGCCTTTTAATTTTTTTGTATTTTAAAAAATTAAAGCAAAACTGAAATAAATCCAAATCCATTCTGAATTTGTTAAGATTCGATTTCAAGTCCGAAGTCTTTAAATTTGAGTGGATTTCTGATCGGATTTGGATCGAATTTGACCCAGTTACAATCCTATAAATAAGAATGTAGCCTCGCAGCAAAAATAATAAATTTTGAATAGGTGCTTATAGTCCAGTAAAGGATTACCTTACTCCAGAATTCTGTCAGACTGCAATTGTAGCGAATACCCATGTTTTGCTATATCCTTTCAATTTTTCTTAAAAAGAAAAAGAAAAAACGAGGAATTAAGGCGAAGTAGGATCCACCTCTTATTGTATGCTTTTGAATGTTGATTCAATGCTACCGTCGTGAAACCACATAGCTAGTGGAGACATTTCCCACAAACCAGAACGGTTAGCAGTTAGCTATCATGATCGATCTCGGACTTCAACACCGAATAGTTCTATGCTCTAACGATTATGCAATGTTGACATCTGGGCAGAAAAAAGAGGGATCTGTATCCTTAGATTTCTCGTTTCAAAATAGTCATTGTAAATGGAAGCATTGCTGATGCAAGGGGATGTTGTTTGTGGCAGTAAAGGAGATTTCTTGTCTCATGATTCTCATAATTCCTATTTCTAAGGCTGTTCATGGGTTAAGTTGGGTTAGTTAGTTTTTTTTTTCAACCGATCCGACCTGCGGGTTATTTAAAGATTAAATCGAAACCGACCCTCTATTAAGTAAAACGATCTAATCGGTTTAGGTCGGTTTGGGTTTAAATATATACATTTCCAAAATATATATTTCAACTTTAAATATATACATTTAAATATATATATATATATATATATATATATATATATATATATTGGAAATATACATATTATATATAATATTTCAGAATATATTTTTTGGAAGTATATTTAAAACTGAAATATACATTTCAGAAATATATATATATATATATTTAAAACCAATATATATATAACCAAAATATATACATATATATTTAAAACTGAAATATACATATTATATATAACATTTCAGTAAGAATATATTTATTGAAAATACATTTGTAGATAACTCGGTTTGGTTTCAGTTCTCATGTGTGAAAATTGAAACTGGACCGAATTATCGGTTTATCCATCTTTCCAACACGAAACCGACCAATAGTGAAGAAAAACCAGCCAAATTTTCTATTTTCTGCCTTAGTTGTCAGCTCTCAACATTCTTGGTTTTGCCTCTTGGAACTCTTGTATCCATATTTTTATTCGAATTAGTTTTTTCATACTTTTTGTAAGTGTTAAGTTAATTTTTTTCTTTCATAATTCCTTCTTCCATTGTTATTTCTGTTGGTGAATCATGGGAGGTTATTATATTGACACAAATTCCCTTAGTGCCATCCCTTTGAATCTACTTTGGTTTTAGCATTGAAGTGATCATCTAAATATTTTCCACTTTTTTAATGGTTAATTTCCATTTTAACAAATGATAATTTGGACCATCTCGATTTTGGGTTTCTCAATTTGTTCCCCCAGTCATTAATTATTAAGTTTATTTTGAACTAAAACAACACATTTCATTTTGTCTAGATGGGTCGAAGCGATTTGCTTCTACCTTCTACTTTAAAGGTCAGTTTCTCAAACACCTTCTGCACATTTACTACTAATGTTTTTTTTCTTCCTCCAATCCGATTCGTTGTAGAGATTTCTTTATCTACATTTATATCCTTTTATTTTGTTAATTAATTGAACTTGCATAGCTTTTAGCTTTTTTTTTTCCTTTTCGTTTTTTCCTCTTGTTATCCTACTTCTAAGACTGATTTAGTTTTTTCCTTTCGCTCATCAAGGAAGGTTAGTGTCTGCAGAAGTAGTCTAGGGCCTCTAGGCTGGGTGTGCCTCTACTTCCATGGCTAAAAGGTCTAGCCTTTGCGTCAAGGAATTGCTGATGCAAGCCGGCTAAAGTTACAAGCAATGGCCATCTTGTCTCCAATCCCAATCCTAATTTATAGCATCACAACATTAGCAAATCAAACTATCCACCATTTGGCAGTCCACCTGAGGATGGGATTGAGATCGTTACTCTGTCGGAAGACCACCGTTGAATAGTTTTTTTTTTTCTTTTTTTCTTTTTTTTGCTTCAATTCTAATGAAATCCTTTTATACCAAAATAAAAATTTATTTATTTATTCAATAGCATCATATATACATGTTCCCTTCTGCTATTTGTTTCAAAAAACAATATATATTTTTGAAACCAATAAAATATTGGTTTTTTAAACAAAATCAAA